CATCAGGAGAAATGACTAATAAACTCGTGGAGAAATGTAAAAGCTCACTTCATCAAATTGAAGTATTCGCTGAAGATGTTGCCTAATAGGGTGATGAAAGCTTCGTGAATAAACCATCTAGCTCAGAGAACACAACCACATCAAAATGGTTTGACTATTCCTAACTCTTTCCCAATCCAATCCTATGTTGGCTAACATCGCTCATCGAGGATGTCAGTATCTCGGTATCCTAGCTATCTCAATCGATGTTGCTTCACAACTTCGCCAATTGACTTACCCTCCTTATCTAGTACTCTACACCTAGCTATCCTCCTACCTGACTTTATGACTCCTGCTAGTCACGACTTCTCACTACAACTCCATTGAAAAAACTTCAAATACACATCAAGATATATGTTACAAGTCAGTCAGAAGAAGGGCATATCAGGTTGTGTAATGGTTTATTGAACACATCACTAATCGAAGTCTGAAAGCTTAGGAAAGTTTATCATCTCTTCGAGACTTCAACAAGTGTCGTGTAATCCTGAAGTCACAAAGTTTGATCCAACTAACCCTTTGAGAGATACCCTCAAACCAACGTGAATGAAACACTTGATGTCCTGACAAAACAAACAGACATCATCCTTTAAGTGAAATTCGCAATTTGCAATTTATACAATTCGAGGAGGTGTAGCTTTATCACAGTTCCTTTAAGAAATCAAAATTATTCAGATGACACTTATGTGATCACCTTGATTTGCTTAGTGAACACTACTGGTTCACATGAATGGTATATAACTACTCATTTCAGTTAATCAGTAGTTTATAGCTTTGTGTAGACATTTAATAATAATAATAATTTGCCTTATTCGAAAACAGTACATGTGATACAGAATGGAATTCTCAGCATTTTTTACTACAGTATTGCATCCAGTTAGTACATTATCAATAAATAGAATTCTACATAGATTAAGGAAATCTCAGTTCATTATCACAACAACACATTGGCATGTCGGTAGCAAAGGTAAAGCTGAACAGTGTTTGTAGGTGTTAGAAAAGTGGGAGCTGTCATATTTACTGGCGTAAGCAAGAGAAAGAAACAAAGCAGCACATAAGAGAAAAAGAGAGAGAGAATAGGAAAAGAAAGAAAGAAAATGTTGTACCTATAAATGATGTGAGATGGAAAGACGAGATTCATTTGTTCTACTGAGTATTTAATAAGTTGTAAGTCTCACGCCTAATGCTTTCTTTATCGCACAGAACACGAGCTAAGTAGGGTATGGTTGAGTTTTTGTACTTGCTAGTGCGAGCATATAGTTTTCTATATAGGCTTCTGGTTTTGCCTGATGAGATGCAAGGGGATAGTTGTGAGTGAAGAGGGTGCTGTGAGTTAGATAAAATTGATTTAGCCCATTTTTCACATGAGTCCATATGCCTGTCGACCAGAATATTAACAAGCTGGTTAAGTGGCACGTTGCTTACCCTGCTGACAACCTTTAACATCCTGCGCAATATGCTATAGTCTTTCTTCAGTAGCCCGGGAAAAACTAAGGGGGAACAATAGAGAATAATAGGCAGGATGCGAGAATTAACGAATTGTAGGAGTAAGGGTTGGGTTATACCAGAATGTTTTAATTTCTTGATGTAGAAGGTAAGACGGAATATTTTCTTAGTAATAGCCAAGATATGAGACGACCGGGAGAGATCACCAGATAGAATGACGCCTAAGTATATAATTTCCGATTTGGTTTCTATTTCAGTGCCGTCTATGTTGCATACCTCGTGAGAGCCAACCAGTTTGTTTAGGTCGGATTTATGCCTCAAGGTGAAATTGACATTACCCCCATTCGGCATAATAACAACATTATTTATTTGTTTAAGACTGTTAAACCCCTGCTGATATATCTAAACTGAACAATATCAACCTCATTTTGCCAAATGAGCTTCTTAAACTGACCTCTCAATGTATTAGCATTATTATTTCTCACTTTGAGTTACTTGTCTCACGGTAACCTGTATTAGTGTATACGATACGCATACAGTCTTCTTTAGAACTTATCAGTTGGATGGGCATGATTGTTCCTAGCACCTTTTTACTTAACACTCCACACCTAGCCTCAATATTGCCCACTGTATAATACCTTTTAACATGGAGGAGACAGAACGCAAATATCTGTGCCTGTTTATCCTAAGTTTTGTGCGTATTGGTTATCGTCAAAAACGTGTGTTCCTCGGAAGTGTAAGAAAGCATATGTTTTCTTCGATATTGTAAATATTCATTATCATTCAGTACTGCAAATTCAAGAAGAGGGCTCAAATCACAGTTATTATTTACATTTGTTAATAGCTGAACAGACTATCTGCAAACAGAGATGATTTCGATTGTTTTAAGACGTTTTCTATTCCACCTACCAACCATTGTGCGTCGATGGCACATAGGTTACGACTCTCGCCGACCATGCACAGGGTCCGGAGTTCGATTCCCTGACGACGGACACCTGATATCAATGGTCGGCCTGCAAAATTTGGGCTACCGATATCACATGCTGAAAATTCCATACTTGTACCAAAAATACGGTGTGAAATCAAGCTATAATCAAAAATAGAAAATAAAAATTTATGAGGATGATAACTCTAACAATCAGAATCTAGCACTGATTTCTTCACGAACTGCTATCATTTTGAGAGTTCTTCCAGTCTGGTTCTCTACCAGTTTTATCATTATTATCATTATCCCCTTGGATTCCGAGTGGAATATGGGGCTTCAACAGCACATCTCTATTTCGTCCTGTTCTCCACAGTCCTGCTTACTTGTCCCCACGATTGCGCATAAGCTTCCATCTCCTCCATGTCACTCTCGGAAACATACCCAATTGGTCGTTTCTCGTTCGAGTTCCACTTGAGGGCCTGGCGGGAGATGTCACTCAACGTTTTCCTCAGTGTGTGTCCGGTCCATCTCCATTTTCTTTGGTATATTTGTTGGGCTATAGTGTCTTCATTGATTCATTGCCAGAGTTTCTTGTCGCTGATCTTTTCTAGCCAGTCATCTGGTTTTCAGTATTGAGCCAGCGCAGTTAGCTGTTGATAAAAGTCTTCAGCTGGTTTTTTGAAATACTTTTCGTGACGTGCCATATTTCTGAACCACACAGAAGAACTGACTAACTTAATATTGGTTTTGAAAATTTGAATTTTGTTTTCTTATGTTGAATTCAATAGACTTCCAAACTGATTTCAAAGTGATGAAGGTCTGACTTGACTTTCCTATCTTGGTTTCTGACATCCTGAAGTTGAAACGATGCTGCTAGCATAGGTGAATGAAGTGACCTCTTCGAAATTTATTCTGTTGATGGTGATAGATTTCTTCATCATCTCTATCCTCTCTATGTTCACTTGAACTCCTGTGTCCTGACTGCCTGCCTCTTCTGCCCACTTGGTAGTTTTCACCTGTAAGCCTTCGAATATACGTGACACTAGACGTAAATCATCCACGAAATCCAGATCTTTAAGAGTCTTCTTTTTTCTCTTTTCCTACAGTCTTCCGCATAATCCAGTCTACCATAGTCAGGACTATCATTGGTGCTGGTAGGCAGTCTTTTCTTACTCCTTTCTACACTTCAAAGGCTTCCCTGAGTACTAATGGACTTAACCCTAACTCACTTCAGAGACTCAGAGATTGACTCGTTACCGTCAGGGAATAATTTCGTTGACTTGGAATATGCAGATGATATAGTCCTTCCTACTAGGTGAAGACGCTGACAAAATGCAGAGTCTTCTGAACACCTTGAGCTGCAATCTTCGAATGTTTGGTATGCGATTCGCTCCCGCCAAATGTAAGATGATGTTACAGGACTGGACTACACTGACTCCTAGCTTAGAAATAGGGAGTGAAGTGTTGACCACTTCACTTATTTCAGAAGTTGCATCAGCCAGCTCCAATGGGTTGATCGCTGACGAAATCTCACAATGGGTACAGAAAGCTAGTTTCGCATATGCCGTCTCTGGCATCAACGTGATATCCAGCCGGCTACCGACCAAAGGGAGTTTGTACCGCTCAACAGTTCACTCCGTCCTCCTTTATGGCTGTGAGACCTAGCCATTGAGAGTGGAAGACATGAAAAGGCTAGCTGTCTTTGATCATAGGTGCCTGCGTTCTATCTCCTGTGTGAAGTGATATAATAGGGTGAGCAATGTTGAGGTTAAGCGTCGAGTGCTAGGTGAGTTGGAGGGGAAATCAATAGACGAGGCTGTGAAGTTACATCGATTAGGTTAAATGGTTAGGACATGTGTTACGTATGCCTAGTCATCGCCTTCTTTAACGGGTAATGTTAACTGACTGACATAGGATGGGTCAGGTTGGAAAAGAGCTAGCTAGTGGTGGTCAAACCAAAACATGGCTTCATCAGTCAATGAAATCTACAACAGTTAGTTTAAGTCAGTCACGTAGGAAGGTGTAGACTTCCTGAGTGGTTGGGGTCCTCGGGACGGTAAATACCAATGGCTGGAGACAATTGGTGATATGGCTCAAAATCGTTCTCAATGGCTGGCTCAGATGCATCCACTCCTTGTGACTTATAATACCCAATAAAACTATATTGTTCTTCGATATTACTATTCTTTTTGACTCATATCTCTGTTTACTGTCTATATTTTGCGTTTATTTTTACTTTCTTCTTCTCTTGCTTTGTGTTCTAAGTGAAGTGTGGTAACTCGAACTCCTGTACACCGGTGCAAAGTTCTATGCTAAAGCGAGAGAGAGAGACAGCTGAGTTTTCCGTTGTGGATCACTTGACATGTGGTATTGTCATCTCCATCAGTTGGTCTACTGGAACCAACTGCTTACTTAGTCATCATTTAATTTGTAATCACCACAAATATGAACAAATAATATGTACCATTTTGTTGATGCATTAGTTATCTTCGTGTAGTAATGTGAATAATATTGTTTAAATCAACTCTTTATATGTGTGTTTTTTCTCAATGAATCTCGTTTATTTTATGTTTTTTTAAAAATTCCCTTATAGTATTTCGAGAAAAACCTTCGAATGAAGAAAATGGGATGGACTTTATCAATACAAAATCGTCGACATAATCATCATTCAGTGTCCTGTTCACCAATTCCTTGTAGATATTAGACTGATTTGTTTTTATAATCATTGATTGAATTCAATAAAGAGTATTCATTGAATATTGATTCGTCAGTTTTTATTCGTTGGGATAAATCTGCATATTATGGCGTCATTCTATAGATCATTAAATTGTTTTTATCGTATTATACATGACAGATATATGTATTAATTACATCATTAAATACATTCACTGTTATGTTATGATTTTATATAATACAAAATGCAAATTGTTGCTATTATCAGAGAGTTTTTTAAAACGTCAACTGTCTGATTAAAGTTAGTTAAATGAACTAGAGTTATTGTGAAATCATTTTTAACCCTTAATACTAAGGCTAGTCAAATGTCTGGGTGGGAATTATGACAAAACTGATAGCATGATTGTAACGACAGAAGACAAGTGCCAGGCAACAGATTGTTTATTGAGAAAATCAAGAGATATTTATAGATTTTTATGTATATTATTATTAGTAGTGTTATTGTTAGCAGAGAAGCAACCTCTTCTGATTGGTTGTTTTCTCTTGCTGAAGGTTATTCTGTACCGCTTGTGACCGTTTCTTAGAAAGTTAAGCCATATATCAGCGAATCGTACTTGCACACGCTAGGTCCGCTGTGATTGGTTGGTGAGTTCCTCAAGGTTGAGCTTTATTATTGTTTTTTCTCATGACCCTGATTCGGGACGTTAATATTAACGTGAACTGTTGTCTACAATTTTGGCTTGCAGACAGCTCTCATCACAGTATGATTAGTCTATCCCTCAAAGGCGATCAATTAATACTAGTTGAAATATATGACAAATGTGAAAATAAATGACATCTACTGAAAAAAAAAAGATGGAGTTTTAGTCATTCAGTATATTGTTTGAGTTTTTGTAAGTGAACGAATACGTAGAGGAAGATAGATCATTTTATAAGAGACCAAAATAACTGTGACAAATTTATGTACTAGTCATTGTCACAAACAGCGTCAGTTGTTCGGGATCCGATTCCCGGCCGAGGGACTCTTAATCCTCGCCTGATCCACTAGTCTGGGACAAGTCTGGAAAATAAGTTAGATTGGGTGTGAGACCGTGCGTTGGAGGTTCAGCGACAGACCACTCGCCAACAATGCTACACTTGGTCCTGGGTTCGATCCCCGGTCGATGAATTCCTAAACCTCGCTGAACCGGTAGTAAGACCGGTAAAGAGGGAAGGTTGGGCTTGAGGCTAGCAACCGCACCTCATAAAAATGAAATCACTGCTACCCATACTTCGAAGCTCTAACTTGAAGCCCTTTTTTCCACTGGGTAGGTAAAGGGATAAAATAAATAAGAAATGAAAATAATGAGCGCGAGTTGGAACGATGCTTCTTAGGTAGGTAAGTAGGTAAGGGAGGTTGCTTCTTTCAAATTTCTCCCATTTATACTGATTATTGTCCGTCGTTGTTGCTGTTGCTGTTGGCGAGGAATCTTCATCACCTCTGTTTTCTCTATGTTCACCTGAAAACCTATCTTCTCTGGATGGTTCTTCTATCGTCAGCTTGTCGTTTTTCACTTGTATATCTTCCAGTTTGTGGGAAACCAGACACATATCATCGGCCAGATCATCCAAATTTTTGTGGTTTCTCTCTATGCCTGTCTCCTCGCTGCCCGCCACCTGTCTGTCGCATTATCCAGTCTCTAACGCAATCAGGAAAATCGTTGGAGATGGTAGACAGCCAGCCAGATTTTCTTACTCCTGTCTTCACTTCGAAGGATTCCGTGAGTTTCCCATTGTGGATTACTTGGAATGCAACATTGCCGTACAACTATTGAACGAGGTGTAAATCGTTGTTGGCACCCCGTAGTAGCGAAGTAGTTTCTAAGTCACCTCTCGATTGACGCTGCTCTGTCGAAGGCCTTTTCGAATTCAATGAAGTTGAGTTAGAGAGCTGACTACCATTACAAGTTCTGTTCAATAATGATCCGTAGTTTTGCGATTTGATCGATGCATGACTTGTTCCTCCTGAATCCAGCCTGTTCCGGTCGACGTTTTTCATCCAGGGCTTGTTTGATTGTTTCCAGGATAATGCGGCTTAGTATTTTGTTTGGGATGGACAAGAGCATAATGCCGCGCCAGTTCTTGCACTGACTCAAGTCTCCTTTCTTTGGCAGTTTGAATAAGTACAATGTCTTCAAGTAAAATATTAGCGGACAGTATATGCTGTGCTACAATTCTGTCTGAGCTGATGAAGCACAAACCATTCCACTGTGATATATCTGCTTTGTCTCCTTCAAGAATTCCACGATATCTGATTGAAAGCTAATTGTAAGATGTTAGGAAGTACATTTTGAGATGCAAAGACATAATTGAAGAAGCCTTCTCTCATTTGTTGAGATACTTTGCCACCCACAATCAGGCCATTCCTCAAGTTTAGTAGGGACTTGTGAATCAGGCGCATGTAAACATTTGAAACATACGCAAGTGTAGATAATACCTATAGAGGTCATGTCTTAATCGATTAAAATTAACCGAACGAGAGAAAATATATGCAATAGAGAAATGGAAGTTACTGGTAGCCCAAGTTTTAGGTATGCCGCCACTTTACCTTTTTTTTTTTGCTGAAATTTCATTTATAATCCTCATCTAAGCACTAATAAAAATAACCAAACCACCAGTTTATCGAAGAGTCTCTTTTTGGTGAATTCATTTTCTGTAGGTATACAATGACATTTATATACAACTTTTCCACGAAAGAGGATATTAACGAAAATGATGAGTAGTCATAACCATAATTACTTATATTAGTCAATGCATAAGAGGAGTTGTATGAAAGTGTCATAATTATATGAAGAGATAAGTAATTAAATGAAAGAGCTTTCATTCGGATACACAAAAGGATGAGTGTGATGTGATATTGCTTATCAATTTTGAAGGAGAAACTCGTTCAGAGAGGAATGGCCAATGTCGACTAGGTCTTCAGTTATGTCGCTGAGAATTGAGCCACTGCAGGAAAGTAACTGTGGCCTGTCGTTTTCAATCGACTTGCTAATTTTGTTCTTAACTCCCTATAACTCCACTTTTATTTCTTCGAAACTCTTACGCAATATCATATTGCCCTTCATATCTCTTTGAATCCTGACTACAACTCATTCGTTGAATTATTTGTCTCAATTCACTAATTTTGATACCTTTGTTCAATTTCTTTTATGTATTGATTAATATATTTACAACTATGGAGATGAGAACTCATGCCTTTTGCCACTTAAGGTTGTACAGCTGAAGAAAATGAATTTGCCGAAAACAGACCCTTCACTGAACTATTTATTTGCAATTTAGTGGAATAAATATGTCGAATACAATGCTGAGCATTACTAAAAACAAATTCCTAAACTCTCTGTGATGAAATCAATAAGGAGATTTATATTGCATTTTGGTCTTAAATGACGACAGTTCAAATCATACCTCTATAAACATTCGTGAAATTAACTGTCTATCGACATAATCAATAGCTCCGTAAAAGTAGGACCTCAGAGAAATAATATGCCAAGTATCTTTTCAAGTTCTCATTATGCATTCAGTGGGGTGATATTTATTAGTATGACTAAATGAAATCAGAGTTCGAATGTAAATTCAGATGGTAAAATATTTTCGTAACTGTCTTCAAGTGAACTGTAAGAAATTTCTGCCAGATAGATTGACGTGCAGATTGTTGGATTGAATAATTGTATGAAATGATGAATGGGCTGATCATACTTGTGTTGATTTGATCATTTCATGGCCAATACGAGTTGAAGACATGAAAAGGTTGACTGTTTTTGATCATAGATGTCTACGATCTCTTTCTCACGTTAGATGGCATAATAAAGTAAGTAATGTTGACATTAGGCGTAGAGTGCTGGGCAAAGAGGAAAAATCAATCGAAGAGGCTATAAAGTTAAATAGACTGAGATGGCTAGGTCACTTGCTGTGCATGACTAACCATCGCCTCCCCCGACGAGCATTACTAGCTGATATAGGTGCAGGTTGGAAAAGAGTAAGTGGTGGCCAAACAAAAACATGGCATCAATCCATGAAATCCCTGACAGTTAAACTGAGTCAGGTAGGGAGATAAAGACTTCCGGATTGGGGCCCGCCCTCGGGACTCTAAGAATCAATGGCTGGAGACAATAGGTGACATGGCTCAAAATCACTGTCAATGGCGCAGATGTATTCAGTCTCTGTAATCTTTCATATTCCTTTCTACCATTACTCATTCTGTTTCACTCTTATACTTATCAAAACTCTATTGATTCTCTTCACTCATCTTCCTGTCTACCTTTGTGTGCTATTTAGATCGTGGCAACTGGAACTGCTGCACTTCAGTGCCAAGTTCTATGTTGAATCCAGACAGACAGATCATTTCATGGAAGGTGGGTGTTGGAACCAGGTCAAGTTATCTCCTAATCTGTCATTCCTATTCAAACAATTTGAACCCCAGTGTTTGCGCACTGCTGAGGAGTCCCAAAAAGCTAGGACAAAACAACTGTCCAGTACTCCCTGCAGGTTTTCCAATGGTTCCCTAACTGATGTAAGCTCATGATAAAATCCTCCAACCAATCAAACAAAATCTCTACCAAAACCAATACTTAAAAATTTGGATTCCATTTTTTATATGAAGTACTTCTGATGTCATAATTATTGTTTCCTTTAGTTCCTAGAAGAACAAAGGGCTTCAGCCACATGTCTTCATTGCGTTCAGTTCTCTGCCAACGTTTTCACCTCGCTCCACATCTGCCCACATGTTTTCATCTCCTCTTCACATGACCTCCTCCACGGCACCCTCGCACTGACGACCAACTCACCGCTTCCCATTCAGTCAGGTTACACTGGAGCGATGACCTGGCGTGTGATGTCACTTGATATAAGATACTTAACATTGTGAACATTATTTCAAACTGAAGAACTACGGTTCACTCACTGTATATAAACTACGGTTTTTTAAATTTCCGGTTTAATATGACTTTGGT